ATTAGTCATAAGGCAGTGACATGCAGGGTATATGGTGAAAGCCTAATCGCTAGGGATAAGAAATGGCCATCAAAAAAACAACTAAAAATGAGGGCAAATTTCCATAAGCTGCAGTGATAGGCTTTTCTTAAAGTTTAACTTACAATAAAAGAATTCATTTTTTCACAGTATGCTTTTCCAGTTGTTGTTTCTTTAATCTGAGCACAAATGTTGATTCATTCATTTGGAAGAAAGAGCAGAAATTATTGTTGAATTTGCTAAGTATTTGTCTCCCATCATGTACAGGTAGCTAGGATCAGAGCTTTGCTGAGCTCCTCTTGTAGAGGAGCTCACTAATCTCACTGCTGTGACTCCAAAACTCCACAAGGCAGGTCAGTGACTCAGGCAAGCTCCTACCCACCATGGGCTAGACTTAGGATGAAAAATCCTGACACTGGAACAATGAGCAGCTAATGTGATTCAAGAGTTTCAGAAGAATTTGATTAGCTAGACTAAGGCACTTACCTTTAGGAAGAAAAATTGGCACTTTGAATCATGTATTCAGGCTTGGGAGGACTTTGATTATGTTGAATTAGATCAACAAAACAAGATTTAGTCATGAACCACTGCAGAACATTTATAATTTTGGTATTTTGGATATTTTGGCTTCATTCCCCTCTGTTCCCCTTTCTCTTTTCCACTCCTTATAAATGTTGAATGATTTCCCATTCATTTTGCTAAAATGAAGCTGTGCTGTTTGTTATTCTCTTCTGTCTTTTCTGAATATATTGAAACAAAACACCTGCAGGAGGAAACATCATTTGGGAAGAGAAAGTTCTTACAGAGGATAAAAGAAAAAGCCATTTTATTTTCTCTTTTATTATGTCATTCCCCTACATTTTTAAATCTTCATTTTCTGTTCATTTCTTGTGGAGATACACACAAAACTTTTCTAAATAGTTTCAGGGACCCATCCATCCCTGGGCTAGACCAGCACCAGAGGCAAATCGGGAGATAGAGAAAGTTGTGAAGGATGTCATAGGGCAGAACCAAAACAGGAACCACCTGGAAGGACAAAGATTAAAGTCTCTTTCAGAAACATAGTCTGGATCATGATGGAGAAAGACCTGGTAGATATGGATATGTTTAATGGAAAAGCATGTCTTTGTCAAAAGTTAATATTATGATGAGGCACTGGAAAAAATGTTTTTGAGAGAAGTAATGAATGCCCCATCCCGGAAAGTGTTTCAAGCCAGGTCGGACGAAGCTCTGAGCAACTTGGTCTAGTGGAGGGTGCCCCTGTCCTCCACAGGGGGTTTGGAACTATGTGGTCTTTAAGGTCCTTCCCAATTCAGGCTGTTCTATGACATGATTCCATGGTATATTTTAAAACTGATGGAGGAGTCCAGTCTCATGGGATGGTTTGTCAGCTACTGCCCTGGGGGTGTTTGCAGAAGGTTGTGAAGAGTTTAAATGTACTTCCTCAGTGCCACATAATTTTTCTGTTCCTTAGGAAAAACTGCGTTCTAGAAGTAAAATTTCCAGACAAGATACCTAAATTTACAGTAGAGAAAAATGGTGCATAAAGGTGCATTTGAACANCTGAACAACTTGGGAGCTAACTGATTAAATGAAAGATTAGGAATTCCACGGAAAATATCTTTGGGATTAACACAAGTCCAAAGGGCACATTGTTTTCCATTATGAGGGGTGCATGTTCTTACAAGAGAACAGAAAATACTTCTGTATGCTTTTTAAAATATATTAGTAGCTGTCTATAGCCAAAGGGTAGAGCATGTCTGTGTGCTGGGGCTTTTGGTCTATTTAAAGAGCAGTCTGTTTAGAGACTAGACAGCAAGGCAGAGACCCATAAGTGGAGAAGTGGTCTGTGATCTCTGTGTGGAGTCTGAAGGTTCTCTGAAAAACAGAGAAATGTCACTTTGGACAGACCTTAGCCTATGGCACTGCACTCTATAGAAGAGCCTATCAACTCAAATAAAGAGTGAAATGCACACATACATCACAAGCTATAACCTTGAGAAAAAAAAAATTAAAAAAACCCAAAAAACCAACAAAACAGATCTGATTCTGCAGATATCTGGTAACAGTAACCCAAGGCAGAGTATGTTGTCAGGGTTGACCACCCCTCATGAACCAAGCACCCCTAAATCCTTGCATGGCCAAGGGCACCAAATCATAAATCAGAAACCAGAGGGCCAAGAGGACAAGGAACTTTGGAAATGGCAAGGGAGAACAACTGTTTTGTAGCTGAAGGCAGAAAGGCATTGAAAAATGCCAGTGTTTCTGAGCTGAACAACTTTCCTCCTATGATGATGAAGCTGGGTTGCTCAAAATCCACCCCAACCGCACAGCTTGCCCCTTGCTACAGGCCCCATAGGGGAGCAGGCAACAAGAGCTGTATGTAGCTGCAACCACCTTCTTTCAGAGCAGGAGAATGACAGAAAACAGTCATTTCCTCTCAAGGTTATTTAAGTTACAGTCTTTGAAAAGAATGAGGAATGGAAACTGTTGTTCTCAAAAATAAACTCTAAATACTGGATGTGTTGTATGATGTGTGTTTGTACTGACTCTTAATTTTGCATCAGAATATTTATATTTGGCATCATATTTGCCTTGGAATATTGTCACTTTCAGGTAAACATCATGTATCTGAAAATTTAACAAATACTAGCACATGTAAATAGCTCAAAAACACCATATAATTTGCTCAAAAAAAAGCACTTAGGCATGGCATGTGTTAAAGGATTACCCATGCCTACAGAACCTGATGCAAAAGTTTTCCTGCTGTTGTTAATTTATCCAAAATAAGTTTCAGGTAGAAGCTGTATTTATATGAAATGATATTATCTTCAGGGACAACAAGATTTAATGAGTTCTGCTGGAGAATAAAAGAGAATGTCCAGCAAGATTCCTTCCTTCACCTTTGTCCTGACCACACAAAAGACAAAGCTTAGCACATTTTGAAAAGAACATTATTACAGATTTATTGTTTTTGTTGTTCAGCCATTGTTGCTCAATTAAATTATTAGCATATATACATTATATGTGTATATATATGTACATATCTATATATACATATATATACATAATATACATATGTATGTATATATTTATATATACATTATATATATGTATATATATGTGTGTATATATTAGTAGAAAACAAGTCAAAAAAGAAACTAAAGATAATTCAGCAGAAAAGAAAAAAGCTGTAAATTCATACATAATTTTAGAAATATTCCTGAAACTTGAGGCTCTTATAAGTACTCAGCACACTTTTAAGAATAACTCAAAATTGTGTCAATTTGTTAGTTCCGAACAGCCTTGCATCTGAAGTAAGGAGGTTTTTCACTATCCAAATCTAGTTGCTGACCTGTCACTGAAGGTCCCGTGAATTTTTCCAGACGAGCAATCAACATCATTGGCCCGGAGGTTCATTCCTCCAGGGGATTTCAGAACTTCTCGGCGTGGGATGCACATCTTGAAGCAATCAGAAGGTGGCACTTTGTTATCGCTGCAGTGGCAATGCCGGGTTTGTGTCCCGGGATGCGGAGCTCCAGGGCTGGGGACGGACACCTCTGCTCCAGCCGCTAACAAAGGGAAAGGAGGAGGCTCCCAAAGGGGAAAGAAAGGATTCTGCTGAAATCACAGACCTGCTAACAGCAGGAAGAGGCATTCTTCAGAGGCGTATGAAACTCCTGACACACTTGTAATATGAATGCAGAGACATGCCAGCTATTGATAAGAATAAAAATAAAAATAAGAATAAAAATTAATGCTCTTAATGCAAACTACAAACCAGCAGTCCTCAAGGTTTTGGGTTTTGGTTTTTTGGGTTTGCTTTGGGGTTTTTGTTTGGTTTTCATAGGTGGTTTTTGTTTGATTGGGGTTTTGTTTATTGCTTTGGCTTGGGTTTTTTGTTTATTTTTTAGGGGAAAAAAACCCCAAACAAACAACAAAAAAAAGACCATAGTTTCTGACTTTTTTAATGACACCCAGATCTTTTCCATAACCATCTTGACAATGCAAACATTTTATAATACACAACTTGCCCTGCCTGTTCTTTGGGAGAAGAAGAAGCTGACCTAAACCTTGCATTAATTGAACACAGCAGCTTTAGCTAAAAAAAAGTTGTAGATGTTTGAAAATGTGCATTGTGTTAATGTCAACTTGCGCTTAGTGTTCTTGTAAGGCTGAAAAAGAAAATGGGATATTGAACTTTTTTAGAGCCTCTGGCATGAGGCAGTTTGAAAACTGTGATGTTAGACTGAGGTTCATTTTATTCCAAGCTGTAAAATTTCAGAGAGCGAAGAGAACAGAACTGAATTCCCGCAGGCTCCTCACCTCAGCACACAACATATTGCCGAGGTGGTTGAACACGCCTTACAAAACAGAAGCTTATCTCAAGGTACTTCCAGGATCAAACTGGTGCACACAAAACTGGAGAAAATCTCAATATATACCACTCTTACAAGAATAAATGATTCTTGTCCCTGCCTGAGCTGGTACCTGCAAACTCAAAGACACAAGATACATTCAATTTCAGACATTATGTGGACTAAGCATCAAGTCCTGCTTACACTGTAACTATACATGCACTGAATAAATTCATAACCAAGAGACTGTAAGTTACTTTATTTCTTTTCAGAAAAAAAAAAGGGAATAGAAATAAATTTAATCCAGAAGTTTAAATGTCATCAAAATCTTTGTCAAAATGCTTGGATTCTAATGTTTTTCTTTTCGATTTTGCTCTCCAGCAGCAATTCCTTTGCACTGGCCACTAGCACAAACCTACTACTTCTCCCATGACCTTTGTGGTGTAAATACTAACATCTGCCAACATCTGCAGGGACAGATTCTAATTCTGCCTGGATTTGTTGGTAAACTTTACTAAGAGAAGTTAGGATGAAGAACATAAAAGCAGCCATAAAGGCACCATACTGAGGTTCATTTAGAAATCATGCATAATCCTTCAAGGGATTTGATCTCTGTTAACTCACCTGATGCCTCATCATTCCCATTCTGCCAGAGAGCGAGTGATCCCTATCCACCTCTTGCTTCCTGCTTTTGCTCTCTTGGTCACCTATTTTCTTGACTCAATTCCAAATTTGTGCAAATGATCATTTATTATGCCTTAGTCCCTCAAAGTTTTGTCACTTCTGGTTCTGCACCTCCTGTCCTTTTGGAGCCAGATTTCCTACCGTGTCCCATGTTCCAAAGAGCTCTGTGTGCTAAAATGAGGAATTCTGAGGTTTTTCTGGGACCCACGTGGAAGCTTTAGCTGGTAGCTGAGCTGATCATGCCTTGGTTCTGTACCAGGCACAACACTTCTTGAAAGCACTTCCCTTTGGCTTTGTTTCTCCAATAAGAGAGAGGGATAAAGGACTACTGGACATTTAACAGGCTCTGATTTTATTTTGAATAAACTTTAACTTACATAAGCCCACAGACTCCCTGGAGAGCAGCTGATATGAACCAGTGGATGCAGAAAACCACTTGGTGGTGACTATTGAAAGCCTAATGCTGCCAGTGCTCATGATAATTGAGGGCTACTTTTAATTATTAGAATTTTTTTATATAAGAAATTCAAAGAATCACTTTTGCAGTAAAACCACTTCAAATGATCTGTTACTGAGCAAGAAAAATAACTGAATGAATATATGTGAATTATATTTGAGGGAAAAACAGAGACAGAAAATGCCCATTTTCCACTTCATTATGTTTTTAGTGACTTAAAAGTATCTTAATGAATGTAGCCAAAGTTTCATCAAAAGTCAACTTCTGTGTTTTATTAGCTTGACCTAAATAACCTTAAACATGCCCTCAAACTGAGGGGTAAGTAGCTTAGGATAATAATTACCATAATGGCTCAATTTGGCACTTTTTAATGGAGCTGTCACAATGCACATGCTACTTCTATAACAGCTGAAATACAACAAAGTTACTGAGATATTATTTCATTAACTTTTTTAAGCTTTGGCAATTATTTAAATGAAAAGGCACAGACATTATGTTGCTAATCTTTGCTTACAAATGTATGGCGTTGGCCACCAAATTATAACAATATTTAAAAATTAACTAAAACCAGTTCTAATGTTAGCCTGGGAGAGATTAAATTTGAAAGAGACCACCCAGAATGATTGCTATGATCCTGCACAGCAGTACAGCTGGACACCTAAAGGTCTGGTAGGTGATCTACACTTATAGTTTAATACTCCTTAAGTAGCCAAGGAGAAAGAAAAGCACATCCAAGGGCAATTCATCCTCCTTGTCTTCAGGTAGCATGAATCAGTCAGGAAAAGCCTTTCTCTCACACTCTTTCATTTACTTATGTTGGGAGATAACACTTTAAATTACTAAAGCTGAGGGAATTCATAGCCACCTACCAACAGCTGTTTTGGTCCCTCCCTACCATCAGCTAGAACAGATGGGTTCATCTCCTTTGACACAGTGGAGGACACACAGAGGTGTTACCTCTCCACAGCATTTTACTGTTGCACACACTTCATTAAAAAAATGCCAAGTTCCTATTTAGATTTGTATTCATTACTTAACGTCTTTCATCTTACAGTAACCTTGTAGAAGTAAATATTATATTGGCATGGAATTTACTCTAGTGATGCAGTCTTGAGTCTTGCTTAATCAGTATCTGTTGAAAATTTACTCCAGGAATGTAAGAACTAAATCTTAGATACTTAATCAGTATCTTTTAAAAAATTCACTATTAGTTGTACATATCTGATTTAAAAACATTAAACTGAAGAAAGTGATTGTCCTACTTTGTTCTGAGTAGCATGAAAAAGGATAAATTGCTCTTTTCTGGCAGTGAAACACATGCAAAACAAGCCTCCTGCAGTAAAAAACTCCCTTTAATCTGTATTTTTCTGCTAATTTGGTAGTGCTGCATCCAGACTGTGTGTTCCAGAGGCTTGAAAAGCATCAAGCAATTTTGTTAGAGGCTGATCAGGTGAATAGCACTGACACCAAAACAAGTGGCACCGTCAAAAGCCCAAGTCTTCTGCTTTACCTGATTTTTGCTAACCCAGCAGCAGAGGACCTGAGGGGATCTCCTCAGCTGGAGGTTTCCTCCTGTTACCCAGAGCTGCTGTGGGGCTGCAGTGCTTTCTTCTTCATACATGAGGAGACTCTGGGGGGATGCTATGCTATAGCAACTTCAGAGAGGCTACAGGCTGCCGTGGGCAGTGCCCCACTTGATCTCTGAGATGATGTTCCTCACTAGTTCTTCACTTGAATGTTATCTCTAAGCCTGTTAGGACTCTGGGACAGTAAGTAAATTTTATACTAAATTTTATACATTCAAAAATAACAGAATGAAAGAGTAAAGGCTCATCTCATCTTTATATTCTTCCAGGATCTGTAGGACATGGATCAAGACTGCGTGCAATATCCATCCTAGATCCCTTTGTTAGAGCAGGGCTTACCCCAGGACTTCAGGTCTTTTATCCCCATTGACCAGTGCTGTCATTTATAACATTCATTTATTTACTATATTTCCAATAATGTAATTATAGGTTTATATAATATTAACTTTTATATGAAAGAAAAATAATAAAAAGAACTTTGCATATTACATTATGTCCAGTGAAAAACATTTGGCTGAACATTTGAAGACACTAATTATGTTATTATTCTTTTATGTAAGTCATTTTTCTGCTAGTGGACGCTAACACTCATTCATGTCCACTGAGACTTTTATAATGAACATTTTTTTTAGACTTTATATGATAGCATAGAGTGAAGCACTATGAATTATTTTGAATATCCACTACATTAGTGGATATTCAAAATGCATGAATTAAACCTGGCCATTATTTTGGTAGGAAATATTTCAACATTAGGTTTAAAACTGAATTACTTCACCTGACTGAAATAGGTCATCAGAAAACAAATTTTCTGAAAGTGATTGATAAGCTAAGCATTTCTCTTGCTAGCTTTAAGCCCATATTAATCACTTGGTGTGGGTACTACTGAATCATGTTCTCAAGTTTATTACTGGGTCAGGGCCTTATGGTAAAGGAATCTTACCGGATTTCACAGCAAAATTTGCCTTTCTATAGTGATTGTGAACACCCATTTTCTGCAGTCTGTGTGAGTGAATAGACTGCAATGGCTGAATGAAGTGAGATGTCTGACAGATCCTTGTTGCACACTGGCAAGAAGCTAAACATTTCACTACACATGACAGCTGCTGAAGAGATAGACTTGATTCAGTGACATACTGAGAATTGCATGTTTGAGCATTGTCATTGGTTGCTAGAAGCAAAGCTCATTTCCACAGCAATCTACTGGAAAATATTGTGCTTCAGGCATGGGATAGAGTCACAAGGGGCCTCAGAAAAAGGCAAACGTTGTTCCTGAAAAATCCTTGCAACAAAGAAGAATAGTAGTTTTCTGGAATTTTAATTAAGTGAATTCATGCAATCAATAAGTCTAAATCAGAATGAATCATTAAATCAGAATTGTTTGAGTTGGACCTTAATGATCATCTAGTTCCAAAACCTTTACCATGGACAAAGACACCTTTCACTAGACCAAGCTGATCAAAGCCCCTTCCAACCAGGCCTTGAGCACTTCCAGGGATGAGGCATTCACAACTGCTCAGAGCAACCTGTTCCAATGTCTCACCACTCTCATAATAAATAATTTCTTCCTAATTTCTTATGTAAAACTATTCTCTCTGAGTTTTAAGCCATTCCCCCTTGTCCTAGCACTACATGCTCCTGTAAATAGCCTCTCTGCAGGTTTTTTGTCATCCCCCTTTAGGCACTGGAAGGCTGCTATGAAGTCTTCCTACAGCCTTCTCTTCTCCGGGCTGAACTCCACCAACTCTCTGTCCTCAAAGGAGATGTGCTTCAGTCCTCTGATTCAGCTTTGTGTCCTCTTCTGGACAGCAAGTCCAGGGCCTTTTTGTGCTGGGAATCCCAGAGCTGGAATCCAGGCAGAGCCTTACCAGGGCCAAGCAGAGGGGCAGAATCACCTCCCTTGTCCTGCTGACCATGTTCCTTTTGATGCAGCCCAAGACACAGTTGGCTTTCTGGGCTGTGAGCACATATTGACAAGTCATGTCAAGCTTCTTATCCACCAACACTGCAAAGTCCTCCTCAGGGCTGTTCTCAATCCATTCTCCACCCAGTCTGTACTGTGCTTGTGTTTGCCTGTACTCATGTGCAGAACCTTGCACTTGGCCCTGCTGAACTTGACGAGGTTTGCACAGTCCCACCTCTCCAGCCTGTCCAGGTCCCTCTGGACAGCATCCCTTCACTCTAGTTAGCTCAACTACACCACCCAGTTTGGTGCCATAGGAAACTATGCCAAAGATTCACCCAATCCCACTGTCCATGCCATTGACAATGATGTTAAATAGGGCTGGTTCCAATACCAAAACCCTGAGGAACATCACTGTGTAGGTCCAGCTTCTTGGTCAGATGTAATTTCTCCTACAAATTTCAAGCACAGTTGAGGGATGTGAAAAATTTTCTGAAGCCATTTTTCTTCAATCATATGCAAACCAGCCTGTATTTTAATACTATTTTTGCTCAGGAGTTTTGTCCCTTTTTATTTGCCCAGTAGTTCAAGAAACACAGTTTAATTTCTGAGTCTGGAGATAATTCACACTGTATTAATGTAACTTCTATTATGAACAATTTTTAATAGATGATTTATCATCTACCTACATTATGGTATGATGCTCTAGAAGAAGAATGAATGGTAGGGGATCTAAACAAGTGGAATAAGGAGTAATAGGGTGTTACCTGAAGCTTTTCCCTGTTCTCTACTCAAAGCCCTACTCAAAGCAGAAGAAAATCAGATAGGTAGGTCTTGTGTGCCTTTTAATCATCTCCACATAACCAAATACTCTGTTACCATTTTTTCAATCATTAAGGAATACAGTGTGTGATATGAAATGTAAGGATATACTTTTTCATCCTTTTTAGGAGACATGTTGCATACAAGTTTTTCATAACATTTTCTCGTTACTTTTCCAGTTCTGTGTGAATTT